CTTCTCAGGTCCCGCCCGACAGAGCCCCGCAAGTGCGACGGCCCGACCCGGGCACCAGATCGGCTCGGCACGCCGAACAGGACGCCCCGCGGTCGCCACAAAGCGCAACCGCGTCGCCGAAAGACGCCGAGCGGACCCCGCGCTCGAGCGAACGACCGAAGCGGCCAGGAAATACAAGCCTCAACGAAGGAGAACGGAAAGAAAAGAAAAAAAGGCGGAATCCCAGCGCAGTGCGCCATTTTTTTGGGGGGGTCTGGCCGAGAAGGAAGCATGGAAGTCGCGAAAAGACCCGAGAAGGAAATCGCTGAGGTCCGAGAAGAGAGAAGTGCCGAGAGCCGAGAAGGGACCTATCGCCGAAACCGCGGAGAAGGAGACCGCAGAATGCGAAGAGGCCGAGAAGGAGACCAGAAGAGCGAGAAGGGGACCCAGGAATTCGCCGAAGAGCCGACAAGGACAGAAGTCGCCTTTGACCGAGAGGAACGCCTCCACTCGTTTCTAGAGAAGTGGAGAGTCATTCAAGTACCTACTACTATTCCAAGAATATCCTTTATACGTCAGGAAGACCCAGGAGTCTGATGAATCTAGATATAAAGAAGATGCAGGTATAGGGTGATGTGTTAGGTGCTCGGAGATGGTGGGAGATCGTGCATGGTGAAGGGTCCGTGGAAGATGCTGCTTTGATGTAGAGGATAGATCAATAGAAGTCGCCCTTAAAAAAGAATATATATAGCTCGTATATACAATTATCGTAATTATATATTAAATATACGCTTATAGGTATATATAAAAAAATACAACGCGCCAAACTTCAGGTATCCTCAACTGAGAACCCAGGAAAGTCGCCGCAAGCCCGAGACAGGAAGAACCAAGAAAGTACGAAGACGCGAGAAGGAAGACACAGGATGACTGCACGAGTAAGTGAAACTACAAGGTCGACGAAACCCAGGAAAATGATGTACAAAGAGACTCGTCGAACACACAAAGAAATCCGGATACACGAAGAAAAAAAAGAAGACACAAAAGGAAAAATAAGAGAACAAACGAACACGACACACACAGATACAAAGGAGAATAGAAAACCACGAGCCCGAGAAGAGAACCAATCGACAGTCGCGAGGCAAGGAACACGAAGTCGCCTTAACCGAGAGGCCCTACAATTCGTCTCTTAGGACAAAGTGGAAAATCATCCAGGCCACTTTCAGATCACAGAGCCGAGAGACCCAGAGACAAATTACAACGGAAAAGAGAAGAGAATAGGAATCCGAGAGCCAAGAAGGATACGAAGTCGCCGAGACCGAGAGACCAGAAGTGACGAAGACCGGAGAAGAGACCGAGGATCGAACGAAGGCCGAAGGAGACCCAGGAAGTGCGAAACGAGAAGAACAGGATCGGAAAGCGACAAGGAAAGAATCAACTAAGCCGAGAAAGAGACCGAACAAAGAGACAGGTCCCTTGAGCAGAAGGAGACCAGGAATCACCTAGACGCCCGTAGGACCAGGAAGTACTAAGCGAGAAGAAACCGTGACGAGAATGAGACCCAGGAATCACCCGAGACTCGAGAAGGAGAAAAAAAGAGAAAAGCACGAGAAGAGACGGAATTACCCTAGACGCAGAGAGACTGAAGAACCCGCACCAACTTTGTATGATAAAATGAATCTGGAGGAGGTCAAGATGACGTTCAAGGTAGAGATTCCAACCATCTAAGAGCGAATTTTGTCCGACTCCAGCTCAGAAAGTGGATTAGACCGAGGAGGATGGAAAAGAGACGATAAGAGACGTGAAAAAAGAATAAAAAAAGAGGTGCCGAAAAGATGAAAAGTATACTAGCATAATAAGTATGCTTATAGAACAATTAATAAGCGCATGAGCCTACACGTATAAACACGGTAGAGGGCTTAAATATTATATATAAATAGAGTCTTACCGCTAGGTGCATACCTCGCTAAGCCTCATGTATATATATATAGCGCGAACTAGCCCGGTTACATTACTACGAGGCCCTTGTTTTATGGTTTCTTACGTTGACTTTTATATTCTAGAATTATATATGATGAGTGACACACACAACATCGAGAAACACGACACGATTTAGAACAACCCAGGCCGGCGAACACGAGTATCAAATACGCTCCGGGCACGCTCCCTCGCGTGACCCAAAAAATAGAGCCGAACCTCGCGCGCGGACGAACGCCCCTCGCGAGCCAGCCCTACCCTCCCGACCCGCCGGGCCCGAGCTCCCTCTCGACAATAATAAGCCAAGTATACCAATCAATATTGATATTAGTATAAAATCATATGTTAATATATTATATATATAAGTAGATACTCTACGGCTCTTGCCCATTCTAATCTACATATCTATACTATTACCTATATATAGCTCGATTTTAGTATATGAGTCTTACAAATGATATCTTACATATAGCTAATATTATTACCACCTTACGTACCTTACCCTCCACACTACTCACTTTTCTTATATTACTATTATACTAATAATTCTCTACAAAGTCAAAACTAATCTCTACTCTCTCTCCTTTCGTTTGCTGTGCGGCAACGAGAATTGCCACGTACAATCATTATTTTCTTTTGTGGCCGTTTTTTATTAACAACATTCTCCTATATATTCATTAGTTTCGTATTATCTATATCATATTATATATACCTATTATATACATCATATCTAATTATATGATATATGCTTACATTGATTTATCATACTCACTCAATGACTAAATCACCTTAACTTATATATACTACCGTCGGTTTCTGGCCTGTCTACTTTACATATTCTGCGCTTTGCTTTCTTTAATATACTTCTATTATTCTTTATTTTCTTTAGTTCGACCGATATCATATATATGAATTAATATAGACTCACCTTACCCTACTGTTCTTAATAATAGCCCAACTTATGTACGTACCAGCTGGCTACGCCTAGTCCGACTTATGTGTGACCTTACCTTTTACGGATATGAGAATACATATAATTAAGTTGTAATACGTAAGTAGCGACCGCACGCTCTGGCCAGATGTACCCTATGACCGCAGTTATAACACGGCGCCGATGCCGCCAGAGTACTACGAGAGCTAGTTAGAACTGTTATGGTGACTGGTCGACTGACTCGCCAGCACTGGCCAGTGACGAGGATCATACTACTATTAATCAACCCCATTACTTACCAAATCAGCCTAAGCTCGGTGCTCAATATGCTGATACATCACCTCATCGTGCCTGTTATACCAGTATACCTTTACTTATTGCCCTTGTCGAGGTTTCGCTCACACATTATATACTATAGTAACTAATATACCAATAATAATATATGTGTGTGTTGTGTTGTGTGTGTGTGTGTGTGATGTGGTGTGTGTGTGTGTGCATTCTGTGTGTTTGTGTGGTGCCTTGTGTGTTTGTCGTGTCTCGCTCGATGTGTGTGTGGGCTAGGGTGAGAGTGATATAGTGAGTAGGTGAGGAGGTAGGTATATAGGGTGAGTTCTTGTCAAAGTCGTAGACGTAGCGTGTGAGTGTGTGTGTTATAGGGGTGAGGGTAGAACGGTCATAGTGTGATTGTGTTAGGGTAGACATCAGGTGTTGTGGGCGTCAGATATGGCATGGGTAGGAGCGGGTATTAGTATTGTATGGAGGAGCCTGGAGCGTGAGTGTGTGTGTAGTGGTCATGATGTTTTGGGGGCCAGCCCCTCACAACGCTTCACTATAGCACACTGGTTTAACCTGGTAGCGTCCACGCATGACTGTACACCATGCACATATACTATTGTGATGTGTGTGTGGTAAATGATATATGAATAATTGTTGATGTATTGAGTACGTGAGTTGTGACTCATATTATAGAGTATGATACTCAAGGTACGTTAGATGCGTGTATGTGTTGATGGTGACGAGCGTTAGTCGTGTGATAGTTTAGTTTGATTGCTGGATCCACGGTCTGGGGAATAGGTGTATAGACTCATATGGGATGATCGACGTGTGTGTGTGTGGTTAGGGGGTGATATATAGGGGGGCGTGTTGAGTGTATATAGGGGGATTTAGTATTGCATCAGGGTGCATGGAACTATAGTGTACATAGCCGGGACACACTAGTGGGGTGGTGTCATAGTAGCTGAGTAGAGAGGTGAGTATTACTGCCGGTGAGCAGTTAGTTTCACTTTGGCTAGTCACCTTGCTCAGCTCATGACGACTTGACTACTACGTGCAGCTTAGCTACAGAGCGGTATATTTATTAATATTGTATGTATTACCCTTACGCAATATAGTGCGCGTCACCTTTTCCCTATTCCTCATGCTATTTTTAGCTCACCTCATTACACTTCAACACTCTACTTACCTCATTATTCGGTACATGATATTCTCTATTCTCACCCACCTTCGATATACCTATTCTCTGAGTAGTAGGTAATTTAAGCTAACCCATAGCATTAGTCTTAGTTATACTATGAATTCTAATTCCTTATAATATACTTTTTACTAAAGCTCTCTATAGTATGCCACACAACTTAACCACTAGACTTCACTCATTTATTATCCCACGCTTGGATCTTAGATAGGCTATCAATATATATAGATATCATAATATATATTAACCAATAGACTCATATATTTCATTGATTCTGTCACTCTTACTCTGTATATTATATATTTGGTAACATGTAGCGTATATACACTTTTATGTCCTATTAATTTAATGATATACGTTCGTATTTGCCTGACTGTCATCCTATATCATGATAATGTCTTTCTGCACTTAGATTACCCGAGGTCTTGGCTTGTCCGTGGCTTTGTTGTGTGTGGGTGGTTCGTAGATTGTTGTGTGCTGTGTATTTTTTTGGGTGGTTTTTCCGCTTGTGGTTGTTGGTGCTGTGGTCGTGTTGTGTGCTGTTTGCTCCGCCTTCGTTGTGATTTGTTGCGTGGGTGTGTCGCTTGTCATACCAGTGTGTGGTCGTTCTATAGTAGTTAGCCTCGGGTATTTTTAATCCTCATT